TACAAAAAAATACTCATAGTGGGCCGGCCGAGTGGCTCAGTTGGTTAAGAGCTCGCTCAAGAGTTTGAGCTCTGAGCAACAGCGGTTCGAGGCCCAGCCCGAGCTGAGCAGCCGCTGAGCTGCCAATAGGTAGCAGGATGGCTCAGCTAAAAGAAATTTTAAAAAATAAATAAATAAAATACTCATAGTATAAGTGAAAGAAAATAAGTTCGCATGCTGGTAAGTTTAGTATAATCCCATATATCTGTGTGTGGTTATAGAGGCACAGAAACTATCTAGGTAGATATTCATCAAATTGATAACCATGGTTACTTTTGTGGAGTGAAACTGGGTGAGAGAAAAAGAGAAGACTTGCTATGTTATAAATTTGATAATGTTCAATATTTTTATAAGTATGTGCCATTTTTGTAATTTAAAATATGTTAATATTTATGTTTATTAAAACTAATATATTGAATTTGACTTTTATTGCATCAAAGCTAGTCTTTTTTAGACAATCAAAGATGCTAAAATCACAAATGATAGCTTCTCCTTCTGCTCACCTACACTACAAAACTTTTGCTAACCTCTAGCTGAGAGTCAGCCTTTTAACCAGGAGCAACACAATTCATCACTGGGTGTTAGCTGGGCAGCTCTGCCATTGGAACAGGCTGCAGCAACATTTCATAGTCCAGTGTGTCACTGACACACAGATGCCCTCTTTGTTCTTGCTGCTTAGCTTAATACAGGGAACCCTTGGTCTTACTGAATTTTTCTTAGCGGCCATGGTCTTAATCTCAGTACTTCTAGTTGTACTATTTATTAGCTTGGTGATTTTGGACATGTCATTAAATGCACCAAACAACTCATGTAAAATAGTAATAAAAGAAAAACATTAATAAAGATAAAATGGTAATAACCTATAACCTTTATGTTTGAAAATGAGGATCGAATGTGGTGATAAATTTGAAATATTAAAACAATTGCACAGAAGTAAAAAGGATGTCAACGATGAACAAATTATGCTTAATGTCATGTATTCCAACTAAAAGTTACCTTTAGTTTAGATCATAGAATACAGGAAAGAATAACTGTGGGCCAGATATCGAGGAAACAAATGGGAGGGAAAGGAGAAAAGGTGAGAAGGAAAGAAAAAATAGGAGGGAAGACTCTCTTTCTTTCTCTGTCTCTGTCTGTCTGTCTCTCTCTCTCTCTCTCTCTCTCTCTCTCTCTCTCTCTCTCTCTNGGAGATGGGGAGAAATAGGGTTTATTGAAAACCAGCGAGAGCTGAAGAGAAGTGCCCTGAAATCACATAGGGTAAGTCAGGCTCTGCTTCCCCGCCCTGTCCAGCCTAAGCAAGTACTCACTCTGCAGGCAGTCCGCATTGAGAAGGTCCTGACACTTCTCGTGGCACTTCACTCCGCACTCCAAACACTTCATGCCCTGCCGGGCGATGCCCCACAGGAGGCCCTCACACTCGTAACAGTAGGTAGGTGTCGTGGCTGTCCAGACCTCAAAGTTGTGAGGGGTGGTGGAGGACATAGGGTAGATCAGTGCCTGCAGTGTCTTCTTGAAGACATGCATTTTCTGTGAAGACGAGAGAAGTTACCTAGGTGAGCCAAACGTGATCGACAACCCATTGTATCACTTTTTCCCTGAAAATGCTATTTTGAGAGAGTCCCTTGATTACTGATTTAAGGGATGATAGGAAGCACCATAACTCTCCTCCCTTATTCTTCTCGCAGTGTTCTGGGGCCCAATTCAATTACTTGAACACAAAGAACTCCCTAATCTTCCACATTGGACTGAACTCCACTATTGTGTAAGCTTCTTTCATTGCAGTATAGAGCTCTAATTACTTGACAATGTCTATGTCCCTGACGTGCTGTACAATCCATGAGGGCAAGGATGATAAACATCTTGCTCAAAGCGACATCACTCCTCAGAGCCTAAGCTAATCTCTGGTTGGAGATAGGTGCTCAGGAAACATTAACTTTTAAAAATGAATTTATGTTACTATCCTTAGTCTAAGTTGGTTCTTGGTAAAATTGTAAAGTAGATGAAATGTATTCTCAGTGCCGACCCTAAGCGTCTAGAAACATCCTCATCCCCCTATCATATCCTACCCAGGCCTGTCTCCCGACTCCGTACCCTCTCTGACACCTCACCCCTCCCCAGCCCCAAAGTATGCTTCTTCTATTATATAATTCTTTCTGTAGAAACTGCTTTCAGCGCCTGTCCCTTAGGAAGGAGCAAGGCAAGTATTTCACAAGAAAATGACTGTAATCAATAAGGGTAAATGAGGTACTCTCCCATGGTGATTTATATTTTAAAGAGAGATAATTTTTACAGCATTTGAAAGGACTTTCTAAAGACAAACCATTCATGGGGTAGAAAAATCCACTGTACAAGTAGCTAGGATATCTGAATTCCCTAGTATAGGCCTGATCATATATTTAAAATGGGCTTTAGTCAGGAACTGTCTTCCATATGTCTCTCCTTAGTGCCTAAACAGTGCCTATCACTGTCCCTGGCA